CCAATAACTATAACCTCCTTATCATCCACATCCTTCTCTGACCCTTTTGTTTTCCTTCCCTCCAACAGTTCCTCATCTGCACAAGCTAAAGACTGAAATCTGTTGCTTGATAGAATAGGCTCATTAAAATTAAATCCACTACTTTTAGTCGTAATAGTACTCTTTTTAACTTCCTGAAAGTTGTACTGACTGTTTGTAAAGCTTTAAAGTGTTTGTAAATTCTGTTCTGAATGGGTTGATCAGCTTGTTTTCTCTGTATTCTTTGTACCACAAAGTTTACATATTAAACTATTAATTAACACAGGATATATCCCTCAACCAAAGGTGAAGTAGTGTTTATGGGTGGTAGGACAAGGGACAAGAAATTGTGGTAATTGTTTCATGGAGGTGTTGCATATACCATTTGAACGTTTGGAATTTGCTGTATTCATATATGAAATCCATATGATGTTAATGTATTTTAGTTGGGAGTTATGAGCAGTCAAAGAGAGAGAGAGGGTTTCACAGTAGCCACTCCACCTTCACGGTAATAGTTAAATACACAAATTGTATTTTTTTTTTCATCCTAAAATCAACTTCTACAACCTTTCTTCATTGGATGTTTGAGGTTGGAGATCTTGTTTTTGATCTTCTGATCTGGTAAGAAGCTACTATTATTACTAATGTCCTTATCAGCATCAAACCAATTTTAGCAGTAAAAGAGAGACAGGGTTTCAGAGTGGCCACACCACCTTCCCAGTAATAGTTACATACACAAATTGTTTTATTTTCATCCTCATATCAACATATACAACCTTTCTTCATTGGATGTTTGAGGTTGGAGATCTTGTTTTTGATCTTCTGATCTGGTAGAAAGCACCTGCTATTACTACTGTTCTTGTCAGCATCAAACCTATCTTTTGAGTGCTTGATAGAGGAATTTGCCTCAGCAAGGGCTGTCATAAGGTTCATTGTGATTGCATCCACAGCAGTTACACAGGTTGCAAGTTGAACATCTCAGAATCTTGCACGTGTAGGTAATCGACAGAATAATGGTGATTAATGATGACATACCATAGAGTAGCAAAGGTCCAGTCATGGTCAGCGAGGCTTGGACATATCTGCTGAAGATCTATTGGGCTCTGGTCAAAAAACAGATGCAATGACGAATGGAAAAGAAGAAGGCTTATGTAGTGGACCTGTAGGTTACCCAAAAAGTACTGCCATTAATTGTGAAGCTTCCAATAATGATGTGGCCAGTCGTAACTTGGTCAGTTTTGTATAATTTAGAAACAGTATTTGGTAATCATCATATTTCATTGTATGCTATATCCTTTAATAAATTCTACAAAAATTGGATAAATTTCATATTATTTACACCTGATCCCTACTACCAAGGCTACTCTGGTTGAGGGATAGATCATGTGTACTCCATTTAATCATATGTCAAACTATGGTAGTTCTTTGGATCTACAGAGTTGCTAAAATATTAAGTACTCATTTTAAACTTCTGAATAGTTAATATCACCATTTATATTCAAAATTATAATTAAGTGAATTATTTGAATTTCACATTTGTGTATTATATTTAACAAACTTACAATATTGCAAAATCGCTATTATAAGGTCAACAATAATGTGAAAATTATTATTGTGCAACAATAATAATATTTTGAATATTCTTCTGACTAGCCCCCCAGTGGCTGAGTGGTAAGTTTGTAAGCTCACAAAGCTATAAAATCAGGTTTCGATACTCGTGATGGGCAGAGCATGGATAGTCCTTTGTGTAGCTTCATGATTGATATCAATCAAACTTTATTATAGCAATAATCTGAGCATGATTCTATTAATATCACAAGAAAGAACATCTTAACTTGTAAACTAACATGTCATATCCTGTCAGTCAGTTTTGTGAAAGCCAATTTGGGGAATATTGGATAAAATAAATTTTACAGAGTGGAAAGTTGTTTGCAGATGAAGTTATTGTTTTTCTCTGTTTGTTACAGGTTTTTCAATATCACATAGAATACAAGTAACAATTTAATTGGGTGGTTGGACTTATAGTATTATTATTAATTTTTATGTCAGTAAATATATTTCTGTCATGATAATATATGTGCAAATTGATGTTAAACACTTTTTTTAAACCTAAATTTAGTCACACTTTGGTAGTCCTTTGGATATATAGGCAGTTTTAACATGTTTGTAGTTTTAAAGTCAAATGAATAGAAAAAGGGAATAAGTATTTGAAAAACTAGATAAACATTTCTGTACTTTTTTGTCATTGTCTTAGTGTTAATGAAACTGGAATACAGTTGATGTATAAAATAAAGATTTCAGAGCTCAAACAGTTTAATTTGCACAAAACTGAATGCCTTGAGCATCCAATGTCCACATCTTTTTTCCATTCTTGTACCAATCCTTCAAACAGTGAATTTAGGCTTTTGGACCTTTCATTACAGAAACAACAGCAATGAAGATGACAGCAATTATTTTAGGTAGGTTGTGATTGAAATGAAAATTAAAGTGACAGAATTTAATGACAAATTTAATGTATTTATACCTTAGAATTTATGCATCAAACATAGAATGTACATTCAAATGGTGTTATATTTCTGTTCTTACCACACTTAAATAATTATTCATCTTTGTGTACCATTCATATGATACATTTTCTTACCATATTAAAGTGATAATACATCTGCGATCTTACCAATCTCAAATGATGATATATATATCTTCATACACATTAAAATGACGGAGTATCTCATTTTACAATTCCACTGATGATACATAAACGATAATACATATATATCTGTTTGTGACTTTCAGATGATGACATATCTACCTTCTTATCATGTTCAAATGATGAATGTGTTGTATCATGTTCAAATGATGATAAATTTGTTTTAACTACATCAAATAATATGTATTGTCTAACACATTAAAGTGACAATGCATCTCATTTTACCATTCAGTGATTATATATATGTTGTTTATCACACTAAATGTTGAAGTATGTCTCTTTTCATCACATTCAGATAATGATACATGTATGTTCTCACCTTGTTCCAATGATGTACATCTGTGTTGTTATCAGGTTCAAGTGATGATACAACAGTTTTTTTACCACATTCAAATCATGATATACCTGTGTTATTATCATGTCAAATGATGACACATCTATGTTCTTATCACATCAAAATATGATGCATTCATGTTTTTTACCCCATTCAATTGATGATACATATTTATTTTTAGCACATTATAGTTATATATATGTATAGTAGAACCTTGATTAATGGGCACCATGCCAGTAAGGGCAGACCGTTTAAGTCTTTCTTTTTACTACTATTTCTAACCAAAATACATCTTGCAAGAACGGGCACCACAATTTTCCTTATTAACTCTCTCAAAATGGGATTGACCAGTTTGACCTACCATGTGACCTCTTTGTACTTGTTTAAAGTCTTTATAGTTTTGATACTACTAACTTTTAATGTAATATATATATATATATATATATATATTCACAAAATTTGACAGATTTTCAGGAAGCATATGTTTTAGTGAAGTATTTTTAATAAAGTAAAAAAATATTTATCTGTGAATATATCGAGTATTTTTTTTACTAGTCCACGTGCAAAATGATTTTAATGTTAAGATTAGAATTAATTTTCTTCATCTCAATCACTTCTACGATGATTAACTTTGCATTTTCTAACCTTTCTCTGACTGAAACTCTCTTTCATTCAACTTTACTTTTGGCTCTCTTTTTTTTTATATCTCTCACTTAGGCATTCTAGAAATCTCCATAGCCTTGACATCAATAACGTACAAACACAATTTCCAATAATTGTCTCCTATTATGAAAAAAATACTAAACAATCATGAAATACTAACTCACAAAATAAATAAATTTAATACTACCTATACTAAACAATCTTTTATATATGATACTCTTGTTACTATCCATGGTCTCCCCCTGGTATTCACAGGTTTTAGAGGTGATTTTTTCTGGAGCCACCACTAATTTCCACTCCTGTTAGAACTCTGCTTTTCTGCTTTGTCCACTGGTGGTCGTCCTTTGCTACAGCATGTTCAGTTCCTCAGGTGCATTCTCAGGGGTTTTTTCATGTACTTTTACTCCTCCTCATCTGCTTCAAATGCCATGGGACTTACTCTGATCTTTTAATTTATCATTTCCAAAAAGATGGGAGGTTGTTGGCCAGATATCATTCTGTCCTACACGATCCAGTTTTGGTCTTTCCTCCATAGTGGATACTCTTGTTGATAGTAGATGTCCCAGTTTGGGGTGTCAGACATTCTTACACATCCAAATGTGTCTACCTACCTTTTGCTTTTTTTTGCATTCATCCATAATGATTAAACATTTGGCTTTCAATCTTTTCCCTTTGAGTTGACTCTGGCCTCATCTTTTTCATTGGGTTAAGTGAAGTTTTCGTGGAGTTTACATTTTTGAAGCTTATTGTCCCAGTACTCTATTGATATATGGCTTCTACCTGCCCTTTTAATTCTGGCTTTCTCTGTTAGAACCTCCTCCTTTGGGAGTCATCTTGTTTGGATGGCTGGTTTGGCTTTCTATTTCAGCCACAACCCTCATCCTGTAAAATGCTAAGCCCATCCAACTACCATCTGTGTTTTTGAGATAGGGTTTTCTGCAAGTCTGCTTTGGCAGTGTTTATATCTGTAGAATTATACACAAACTTTTCTCTATGTTAAAATAGACTTATAAAGTAGATAAATTAATACATAAAATTATACATGGACTTTTCTCTATTTTAAAATACTTGTACTTGCAAGCTTTTAGCCCTCTTACCAGAGCCTTCATTGGGCAACAGTGTACATTGTTGCCCGATGAAGGCTCTGGTAAGAGGGCCAAAAGCTCGCAAGTAAAAGTATTTTAACATAGAGAAAAGTTTGTGTATAATTTTATGTATTAATTTATCTACTCTATAATTCTTAAACAACATGTTTATTTATGTGTATTTTATCTTCCAGACTGTTCCAGGTTGTGATTTCTGTCTCTAGTTGCAGTAACCCATTGCACTGTCTCTCAATTTGGGATGTAATTTCAGATTATTGTACCTGTTGACACAGTCCAAGAACCTTTCCATTATTTCCCCCATGCAAACTCCTCCCTCTTCATTTCTTTTAGTGGAGTATGGGAGAACCCTTAATTTCTCATTCCCAAGATGCTGGAAATTGATATAGAAAGTACCTTATTGGACAGTGCAATCCCACTGGTATGAGACCAAGGGGATGCACCCCTCCTTTAGGAAGTAGGGCTGGAATGTTACCTGATATCATAGTTCAGGAAACACCATTCTTGGTTGCTCGGTCCTGTTGAATCGGTCTTGGGTTTGCCTCAGGACATAGATCTGGGATGCTTCTCCCTGCATCTGGTTATGGTGGTGAATATGGCGAGTATATCGTGTAAGTATGTTTCCTACATGGTATGACCTAATTTAGAGCCCCACTACACACTCATATACTTGTCTGTAAGATAATGGCTGGTTGAGCAATTGTACATTCCACCCACCTTAGCAACAATTTAGCATCATGGAAAAGATTCTTTTGACACTTTTTTTTTAGAAACAATCTTCAAAGATATTTAACGTCAGGTTAATTGGAACTTGATAGATTTCTCCAGATTAACTAAACTAAATTATTGTGTACATAATTATTATTTATCTCCCCTTTCTAACAACAGATATCATAATATTTTTGGGTGAAGAGTATTCCCTGCTTGAGAGGGATTCAGTGTTCCACTGAGTGCTGCCCCCACTAGGCTACCCCCACCTCGTCAATGTCACATTACATGGGCTTTTCCTTTTTTATGTAGTTTTCAGAAAGGGGCTTATCTTTGTTACTTCTTTCTCTGCACTGGGCCCTCCACCATCTTCAGTGTGGAGTTCTAGCTTTTTGTGGTGCTAAGAGATCAGTAGATTTTCTCAAGTTAACATTTTCCTTACCTGAAAATGTATTTCAGATAGATACTCAAGTGTCTCACCACTTGCAGTACATTTAGTTTGCCTTGTCAAGAGTGACTGTGCTCAAATGCTAGTGCTCATGGGGATTATTGTGTATGGAAGATGTATTACTCTATTATTGATGGAAAGCTGTAGGCTAATGATGATTACATTATAGGCTTGTGCAGTACACATTGACATATGTATAGATAGGAACTTTGTTCAAGGCTTGTGACGTGCACTAGAATTTACATGGCAGTGTGAATGATGTAATAGTTCTTTGTGGTACAGAGAGATATCTATATGCAATACATTTTGAAGTAAGAAAAATGTTAACATTCCTACGTCTGCTTGTTCATAGTTTGTTAATTGTAGAAGTAAAAGTATTGCTTGCTTTTAGTTTATTATAAATTTTGGGCTATATTTTCCTTAGTTCCTATGCTCGCTTGTCTATCCATCGGGATATGATAGGGGATTATGAGAGGACGAGCTGTTACAGACAAGCTATTCTAAGTAATTACAAGCTGTTTTACAAGAAAGTTGTAGCTGATGTTGGTGCTGGAACTGGTAAGTTGTCCCATTGATCAAGATAGAACTAAGTTTATGTTAATTACAGGAAAAATATATTGCAGTGAAATTAATAACTTGAAGTAAAAGTGTAGCTGTTTATATATTTTTTTAAATTGAGATTTAGAATTTTAATGTTGTACTTAGTTGTTCTTTATTTGTGGTCTAGGAAAATACAACTTGCTTGAACCCCAAAAATAATTACAACAAGAACTGCACCTGCTTGATGCGGTATGTAAAGTTAACTTCTATAATTCTATTGAGGAACACAACTAGCTTAATGTGATACCTTAAAATTAGCATATATAATTCTAATGAGGAATACAGCTGACTTAATGCTCTACTTTATAGTTAACATGTATAAGACTGCTGTGGTTCAAAGCCAATTTACTGTGACACCTTAAAATTAAGATCTATAAGACCATTGTGGATCAAAGCTGGTTTAAAGCAACACCATAAAGTTAACACGTATAAGAACACTATGGAGATCAAAGCAGACCTACTATAACAGCTTAAAATCAAAAGACCAGGGAAAAAGATTGCTAGCTGAATTCATGGGGATACTAAAACTAAATACTATAAATTTTATAAGGTGGAAAAGCAAAACATTACAAAAGTTTGTTTAGGTGAAATACATTTTAATAAAATGCTCTTGAACATCAAATCAAATATTACTATTAGCAGTCTCAGTTATTTTAAGCTTATACTTTGTCAAATAATTTAGGCATACATGCTGACAGCAGTTACCTTTTCAAAAATAAATAAAACTAATGAATAGTGGAATTGACTGTCACATGAAAATGCTTTCACGGTTCAAAGAGCAAGCATGATTGGCAATGAGGATTGTGAGTCAAGCACCCTAACCTCGAGGAAATTAGAATGGTATACCTCAAAAATAATGCCTTATTGAAACTACTACGAATTCCTGTATTTTCTTACACCTTAGGAAGTTTACTTAGATATAATAACTTACTAGCTTCTGTATTTTGTGACTAAAATATAATTGATGAAAAGGACAGGATTTCATTATTTTACTGGTTTATTGTCATTAACCCTATTGTTACAGGTAGCTAGTGGTCAGGGGGCATGTCCTCACATTTGTAGACTTAAATTAAAAATTTTATTGAACTACTATTTTGTGAATGTATGTCAATAAACTTGGTATCACATTATAGACTTAATTCAAATTTTAGTATTATACATTAGTTAATTTCTTAATTTGAAAGTAAATATAAAAATAATTGCTAAATATTGGTTTTTGTGTCACACTGGCAAGTCATCTTCTGGGTTTGGTCAGATTACATTTTATGACGTCCACGATACAATGTCTATAGTTTCATGTGAATTATAAACTCAAATTTCCGATATTAGTAAGCTAGAATATAAAATAAGAACCTCATACATTTTCTATTTGCTGAGATATCATAATATTTCTCGAATTCAATGTATTGCCTCTGCCCACCACTTCATTTAAGAAGACTTGTTTATCTATGCCTGCTTTGTTATACCTATAAGTTTATAACCAACTGAAAGCTCTGCATTTCCTTTGCATAATTCTGTTAGTCATTGTAAATTATTTACAAGAGAAAAGCTCTTATTTTGTTGGAGGGTTTGAAGTATAATGATAAATGCTATTTTCCAAACAGAAATTAGACTCCCTTTTTAGACCCAAATACAGTAATGTTAGAAAGCCTGGTAAATTACAATATATTTTTGTGGTATCTTATAGTTATTTATAATTTTTTGGTATTCAAAAATGCATATATAAAGTGTACAAAAAATGTTTTCTACATTGACATGTAAATTTGGACAAGGCTTATGATGAGGGTTAGCAAGTATGACTCACGAGTGCAAATGAGAACTTCAAAACATAGTAAGTAGTGGAGATAATTTTCTGAAAATTTTTTGTTTACTGTTTTTAGTTTTAAGAAAAGTAAATGAAATTTTTAATATTTATTTGTAAATGGTAATAATATATACACATGTGTAATATATGGTAACCCAAGCCTCACTGTACCGTACAAAATGTTGGAAACTATGCATTTATTGATTACTGTGAAGTATGGTAAAATAGGAAACAGGATGTTCCTAAGCAATTTCACACCTATATTACCATTGAATCCCGATTACAACTTTGTACAGGGCCATATCATAAATAGTTTCATCTAGAGCAGAGACTGTGCTTCTCTAGTCGGTGAGACCCTTTGGGTCCAATTGCTCTTGGGCCACCCATACAGTCTTTTATCACGTGGTTCTTTGCTTGCTGTCTGGGCTTAACTTTAGAAGAAGAGGTTCAGAAAGGTATCTGAATGCCCCAAATTGCCCATGTTTTCTTTCCCAAGTTCTTGGATGCAGCATAATATTTGACAGGGACCTTCACAGCATTGGTGAAAATCCAAGATGCACGAGAGAACTTTCCCTTGATCTTAGCACCATTCCTGCAAACCTTTCAGACTGGCATCAAATACATCTACCTCTTGGTTGTACACTCGTCTCTCTGTAGAGCAGAGGACCCCTTTTATTATCATCCCCCCCCCATGGACCCCGTGTTTTTGAAAGATTCTGCTTACCCAACAAACTGTTTTTATTAACTAATAATTAACTTGTTCTCCCACTTTTCACTATCAAATAAAAGACATATATAACTGAGTGTGCAATTAAAAAACATCAGTATTAAAAACTTACTTGTTTAATGAGATGGTATTACCTACGCAGATCCCAGGTTGTGAACCACTACTGTAGAGAATGGAAATATCCATGTGAGACAACAAGACAGCTTGCTAGAGTGTTCAAAAAAGTCTGACTGCTAAATCCTCTCGGAGTGAATACAGTACTCCACAATATAGGAGACTAAATTAAAATCTTTTCTCACACAGTCTTATTACTTATGTATGCAAGAACAAAGGACACCAAAATTTCCCCTTTTACTTTACTACTCAGTAATATTTTCTGTGCAAAAGAGCTTTCCTGCAGAGCAGTCAGTTAGGTTGCCTAAATCAAGATTTGGAGGATATCAGAATACGGAGTATAATGATCTCCCCAATCTATAACTGGGATTCTAGAGAAGAAAAACTTAACACTGATGGAAGGGCAAGTGTTTAATGGTGCTTGTGGAACTGATAAGAAGACTTTATTTAAAAGTTCCTATCATTTCAGTGTCAACTCTGTAAGATAAATTTAACCTTAAATTTGAAGTGAAAATAAGCCCCTAATAAATATTAAAATAATTTAAATGTTCCATTTAAACAAACCCAAGATTTAAGAGTATATTTACGGTTCAAATGTTAGCCAAACTATGCAATGGAAACTAAACATAATACAAATACTTAAACATCTCTCTGTTACTTTCTCAAGCTTAAGTGAACAATTCACTTCTGTAAATGAGAGTTAAAAGTAAAGTACAAAACATTATTCAACTTGCTCAAGAGATCAAAATAGCAAAAGGTTAACAATAGCTTTTAGTATGTTACACCATTGAAACTGCTACAGTAACTTAAACTCTGCAATTCTTAAAATCCTTATAATTCTATTCATACAGGGGCAAGCCTGGCTTTGAGTACAAAAATAAAATAAACAATGCCAAGTTTGCCCACAAAACACACATTTCTCAAAATCTGTGTCCATTGGGAGTTGAGCTCTTGACCCTTATTCGATTAGTTGTCAGAAAAGATAGCTTTCTATTTCTGGATGTCACTTGTTATATTCCCTGCAAGAATGTTGGCTAATTTCCAATTAGCAAACTTGACAATTCTGAATGCTGTCAAAACAGAGAATGTTAAAGTGTTACTTGAATGAATCTCAGGATCCAAGCTGGAAACTCTGAAAGACAATAATTTTGAAAGACATTACATCCTAACTAAATGCTGTACTGTACATAAGCTTGTTTAAGAGGAAGGTTCAAAGTTTGAATATTAGTTCATCATGCAGTTTGTTCTTCATATAAATATTTATAATGAGATTCAAGAGTTTCAATATCAGTCCAAATTCCCCTCAGACAGTTTGTTATTTGTATACTTTCTCAACATAAAATATTGGACATTTGTAATTACTAATGAATTTTTTTCCCCATAAAGAAAGTCTGTCTTTTGTGTTTCTTCACATCAATAAAATTACTTAGAAATATAAGACAGCTGACACTGATCCTGAGTTTATAAATAATTACATAAAAGATTTATATCTTGTACAACAATCATAAAAGAAGCAATAAAAATTGGTATATTTGTATTAATTACTAATTACAATTAAAAATCTGATTGACTATACTAGTAAAAATTTATAAGATGTAAGTGATCTACAATTATCCTGTGCTTTAACTAAAATTAAAATTTGTTTGTTTTAGTGCAAAACCACATAATGGGCTGTCTGTGCTTATTCCTCTGATTTTATCATTATAAGCCTAAATTTACAACTAACCCACTAGGGGAATAAATTAAACTCTTTTTGAAATTCTTGTTACTCACACATACAAAAACAAAGGAAGAAAAATTGGCAGTGTCTTTACTGTTGTTTTTCATCTTTATGCTAGTTGTGTTGTGAGCTAAATAACTATTTTGAAATGCTATTTTAACAAGTGCCATTTCTTAGTTACATCTGCAGTTGTTAATATTAGCACTAATAGTGCTGGATCCAAGTAATACATGTGGTTGTCAGGTAAGAGTGTACATCACTTGCCAATATATCATACAGTGTGACCATGCAGAATTTTTACATTGTTATCATTAAAAGTCTAATTATGTATCATTGTGTGAATTATACCTTTTATGCAGTCGCTATTGTTGATATAAATTCCTTGGTGGTAAGTAGAAAGATTGAGAAATTCAAAGTAAGATTTCCAACAGTCAAAGATCAGGCATGCAAGATCCTTTCTTTCAATTTTAGTAGGTAAATAGAGTGGGCAAGAGTCTGAGTATTTTAGAGTTACAAGTGTTATTCCTGTTTTTAAAGATAATATTAAGAGTTGCACTAAATAAAAGGCTAGTTAACCTTACTTCTGTAGTGGGAAAAGCTCTTGAGAGTTTAATAAAAGAAACTTTACAAAATCATTTAGCTCCTTAAATCCGTAATTTTTGGCATATTCTGCCAGAAGTATTTTCACGATTTCCTAATAATTATCACTATACCTTATAAAACTTCAATTTTCTTAATTTTTTTAATAATAACATGATTAGGAATAGTTTTTAGCCAAAGAGACATAAATGTTATTGGATGCTGTCCCCATCCAATGGGTAAATCAGAATTTTCAACTGGACATTAACGGAGTCTGCTCGGGTTTAAGGAGTTAATGGAATATGATATCATAAATGAAAGCAAACATGGATTCACTGAAGGAAACGTTTGTCTTACTGATCTGGTTTTTTTTAGATTTTTTCAGAAGATGTTGCCTGTTATCTGGATGATTGAAAGGCTGTGGAATTTATGTATTTAGATTTTGAAATAGCTTTTGTTAAGATGCCACATAAAGCTTAGATAAAGAAAACCATACCAGTAAGAGTTGGAGAAAGAACAGTTAAATGGACTGTAGGGTGGTTATGGCTATCCTTCTCCTCTTCATTTAAGGGACATAATGTATTTAGTTGCCTATTCCATATCTTCTCCTTCTCTCACTGTGCGGGAGGTTCCCTGTCTTGTAGGGACTTGGGTTTCCATAGAATCCCTTATCCCCTTGGGATGTGCTCATTTGCATTGGCTGCAATGGACTTTGCACTATCAGTGGAACCTCCACCATTCTCCTTTCTCATTCCTTGATTACAGATTTCATTTGGTGGCTCGACAAAACCAATACCACAAAGAGAGTTCCTCTTTGGCAGTACATTAAGCAGGAATAATTTTCTTATAATGGTTTGTGAATGTTTAATTACAAGCCATACAGACAACTCACTCTCTCTGTTTCCACACTCTCAACCTTTTTTTCTAGGACCATTATTTGTTGTAGTATGATGCTCCTGTCTATTTATACCTTCAAATTCCTTGTCTACTCGAGATATTTCTCTCATTACCTTCACAGGATGGCTGCAACAGCTCATCCATCTAGCCTATGCTTCACTGGATGCAGATTCATGGTGACTCTTTCACATAACCTCTCATCAAATCCTACACCTTACACTCTCTCTGGCTGCTCACTTTCATCATCCATTAATAGAGATCATGCAAACTGGCATTTGGACAACCCTGCATACTTTTATCACACATTATCTTTATCATCTGGCCATTTCTTATTTGTCATCTCCATTGCATACACCTTACTGGCTTTGACTGGGTAAGCTGTTTTTTGTTTCTCTCTTACCTTTGCAGGGGCCCTATTCTATGTAACAGGATCCCACTAGGTAGCACATGGTGTCTGCTAGGGTACACTTATATATAAATCTGAACTATGCAGCCATTCAGGTCTGATAGAGCTCACTGTTGAGATGTGGTGTTCCACAAGACCACTAATGGTTTCCTTGCAGTATATTATTTGCTAAACAAAGCTTTATCCAGACCGTACCTACTCATTGACTATCATGAGTAAAGCAGTGTCTAGATAGTTGCCCATCCTTCTAGTCCTAGTTGAATAAACTGGGACTGGCCTGCTTTTAAAAATAGAGTTTTGTTGTCACCCATTGCACTATTTTAAGGTGTTATGCTCCTCCAGGCTCCCCAATGTGCTTTCATCCCTCCTTTCTTCTAGTGGAGCACGAGAGTCCTTGCCACTTACCAGCTCATAGTTGCTGAGGTGGTGGACCATGAAGGCATCCTCCTGAGTGTGCACAATTTCAGTCAATAGAGAGTAATGCAGTGATGTTCTGTTGGTGTAGATGGTGTAGACTCTTCTCTTACTGAGGAATAGATTAAATATTCCTGATGCTGCCTGTTTTTGGACTGGAGATGACCCACCAAGTACAGTTCACCCCTCCGGCTAGTTTTCTCCCACCTTACCATTGCATGGATGTCAGTTTCTGGTTGGTTTGGCATTGGATAGGTGCAGGACCTGTGAACATAAGTCCTCACTCGTGTGGTTGGTAGGAGCCTTCCTTCTATGGACTGGACGAAAAATACCCAATGTTACCTGGTTTTGGACTGGTGTTGGATATGTGGAGGGACAGCACACATGAGCATTTCCTAGGTTGGCAGAACAGAGGTTACTTTTCCCTTCTGGTTCCTGGGATTGAGGTTAAAATTGTTGGGGCCTTCCTCCTACCACAGACTGAATGAAAAATACCTGATGCCACCTGGTGGAGTTGACCCACCATGTAGAGTTTGATGCACCATACCTACACTACACACTTTGCATGTACATGTTCCATACTCAGATTCTGGACTGCACTTGTTTTCTGCCAGACTTAGCAACACATATTTTTTATGGGTTAAAAGTATACCCTGATACAGAAGGGATACAATCTCCCATTGGAGTGCCCCTATACATTTCCAAGGCTAGTGACAAGCAAAAAATTGCAGGTATAGAGGGCAGCACAAAATCAGGAAAAGCTAATGTGTGAACAGAGACCAGTATCTATTGCAAATATATGTTCAGTGTTGGAAAATGTTAACTTTCACAATATATTTGTTACTTCAGATTTGAACCCAACACCAATTATACCAGATGAGTGCTCTACCAACTCAGGTAAAGGGCTAACCCACAAGCACTTTTTAGTAAGTCAGTTTTTAACAACTCAAACTACTAATGGTACATCCTAGGAGTGACAGTCAAATTTCTCCTAATCATCAGAGAAAAGTAGCCAAAGAATTAGCATTGGGTACTATTGATTAGGTGATTTCCCTCTAGTCTAGTCTGTCAGTTCAAAATTAAAGACAGCTAGTGCTGATAGCTCTTGCGTAGCTTTCCGGAATGTCCAAAAGCAAACAAAGAAATTAATATCAATTATGAATTACAAATAAACACATTTAATAAATTACATAGTTCATAGTTGACAACATTCATGATACCATTTACAACTATACAGTTTTTTGTTTTTTTTCAGGCATACTTAGTGTTTTTTGTGCTCAAGCTGGTGCAAAAAAAGGTAAGCTCTTTCATATTATTAAATATTATTATAAATGTTAGTAGGCTTGGTTAATTAATAATCTAAGTATTTATCTATTGTAGTTACTTGCACTCAAACTCTATAAATTGAGTGCAATATGATTTTCATTTTGAATATATAAATACTTTTCTTCATCTTATAGTTTTCATATTTCATATGCATAGTTTCTAGAACACCCTAAGTGAGTATCAAAGTTTAAAGGTAAATGTTTGTTTTATTTTTCATTTTCTCTACCATATCACTAGCTCTATCTATTATCATTAACATACAATGCAATGAAATAAATAAAATTAGGAAATCGAAAAAAAAATACATAACTTAATTTTTTGGAGAGTATCTTTAAAGATCCTTCTTTTGGTTATATTTTTAATTTCATGTTTTTTTTTCCTTTTCACATATAGTTAAT